GGGCCTCAACTTTTGCAATTTGAATTAATGTCTTGGAAGAAAGCTAAAGCTTGGCCATGCTAAATTGTGAAATTTCCAGGGATGTGCAGGTTAGGTGGATTAGCCACAGTATATATGGGGTTACAGCAATAGGGTAGGGGCTGGTCTGGATGGGACACTCTTTGGACGGTTGGTGTAGACCTGATAGGCCAAATGGCCTCTTTCCACACTGTAGGGATTCTATGATTCGAAAGCCTGGCCTTGAACATTCTAACTACTGTTTCAAATGCAAAACATTGATGAAAAATAAGTTCCAATTTAAGGTGATTGGTAAATCAATCAGGGGCGAGATGAGAAAAGAACATTTACACAGCAAATGGATTAGATTTGGAGCATGCTGTCCGATTCCATGGATGCAGATTCCAAAGGGAATTTTAAAAAGTTGCAGGGGCACAGGGAATGAGTGGGGTTCTGTATGTGTACCTTGCCTTTAAGGGTTGTATATGCTGTGTGTATACAATGTGGGAACTCTACCTGATGGTTAGTCTGCTGTAAATTTGTAAGCTGTGCACACACACAGAAATCAGTTGGTTATCCTAATGTCTGCTTCATAACTTATAACGTATTTACTGTTTAAACTGAAACTAACCTACAGAGTTAATCAATCTGTGACAAGCGATTGACTAGTAGACCATTATCATTTCCATGACATAGAATCCCTACAGTGCAGATAGAGGCCTTAGGCCTTTCAGCCCATCAAGTCTGCACCGACCCTCCGCAGAGCATTCCACTCTATTCTGCAACCCCATGATTACCACGGCTAAGCCACCTGGTCTGCACATCCCTGGACACTTTGGACAATTTAACATGGCCAATCCACCTAACCAGCACATCTTTGGACTGTGGGAGGAAACTGGAGCACCCAGAGAAAACCCATGCACACACGGGGAGAACGTGCAAACTCCACACACAGTCACCTGAGAGTGGAATTGAACACAGGTCCCTGGCGCTGTGAGGCAGAAGTGCTAACTAACCATTTACCACCGTGCCAGGCATTAAATGCAGAAGTGGACCTTGACCACGTTGCTCTTCCAAATGGATTGAATGATCTCATTTGAATGCTAACATTCTGGGTCATTTTTGCCGAGTAGGAGAGCATGCAGTTCCCCGGAAGTTGAGTCATGATAGGCCGAGAGCCAGTTTGAAGCTGGAAAGCCTGTCCAGTCGCCATTCTGCTGCAGAGGAAGTCATTTCGACTGATGAGAATGTTTGAAGCTTGAATTTGAATAAAACTATTCAAAGCCAAGAGTGGGGAATATAGCACAGGAAATGAGAGAGGGAGAGGGAGTACAGTGCAGAGAAATCTATGTCAACTGTCAATCTGCAGCCTGATAGCTACTGTTCATCATGAAAGATATTTGAGCAAATTCCATCAAGATTTTGGTTAGAATTGTGCAGTTTGGAACCCACCCAACATTCAAAATAATTATAACAATTGAATCAAGTGACACACCTTTTCCCTGAGTGAAGGCAGCATTTAACTCAATGTTGTTGTGAAGAGTTCTCGACTCAAAAGCTTTAGTTTTGTCTGGTTGCCTTCAGTCTTTTTCTGTCAGTTGTCTTTCACTTGCCCACTCTACCCTATCATTGCAGACCCCCACCCTTCCCCTCACATACACTTCCACTCTGCTCCCTCACCCTCCCACCACAACCCACCCCAACACTGCACACTCCACGCATGCTCATCCACCTCCCATCTTCAAACTCACTTTGTCCCGAATAAATGGCATTATCTCAAGCAGGAGGTTAGAGGATAGCTTAAGGAAGAACAGTTAAAACCCGGTATAAGTCTGCTCAGGCTTCAGGGCAAGGGGAGCAAAGGGGAAAGGAAGGAAAAGAGAGAGAGAAATGGAAATAAAGAGAAACAGAAAGAAACAGTGTAATGAGATAAAGAGGAATAAAGAGATGGAAGAGAAAAGCAAGGGAAAGAGAGAGAGAAAGATGAAATGTAGAGAGAGGAAGATCAGGAGAGAATAACAAAGGAGAAGGATTGAGAGGAAAGAAAAGAGAGGGAACAGAGAAAGAAATGGAGGAATGAGGGAAGGAAAGAGTGAGGGAAAGAGAGGGAGAAGAAAGATACAATGTAGAGAAAGATCAGGAGACAGTAAGACAAAGAAAATGAAGAGAGATGGCAAGGAATGAGATAGAGAGAAGGAACTAGAAGAAGACAGGAAGAAAGAGAGGGAGAATGAAAGAGCAAGAGAGAGAAAGACGAAAGGTAGAGAAAAAGAAAAGGAAGTGAAAGAGAGGGAATGAAAGGGGAAAGGTAGAGAAAGAAAAGGAGAGAAAGAGAAAGGGAGGGGAAGTAAGAGAAAGGAGAGGAGCAGAGAAAGAAAGAAAAGAAAAATGGAACCAGAAACAAATGCCAAAGAAACAAACAGCAGCATTTTAGTCAGACCAACTCCTGCTTACCGTCAGTAACCACACATTGCTGAACTGATCTAAACTTGTCTTTAACAAGGAGTCAGTCAATAGACGGTGCAGGGAACTCCTCAGTCAGTGCTTTACTCAGACAGTTTGCAGCTTCAATTCCTCACCACACTACGTCAAACTTCTCCTGAAATAGTCAGCTGTTGCTCTGTTGTGGGAGAGTTTTGCCTATACCAGAAAGAGCATTGTTCTGGCCAGTAGGGTGTGTGGGGCCCAGTTTGAGGAAATCCCACCCACTAGTCAATCAACATGACGAAGCAGAGATTGCCTCAGCTCTACATCATACTTGATATTAAACCAAGTTCCAAGTCCCCTCCTAGATTGGCATGAATGATCCATGGCACTATCGGGAGAGTAGAAGATATATTATCAGTGTCCCAGCCAATTTTTATCCTTCAGCTAATATAAAGTCAATAAAATTTCATTGTTGTTTGTGGGAGCTGGCTGTGTGAAAATGGGATGTTTCATATCCTGCACTATAACAAAGGTGGAAAGTGACTGGAATCTATTGTTAGTGACCAAGTGATTAAGCCTAGGAGTGGTCTGAACTGATGAGAGGGTGTCGATGTGGATTTGGGAAGATTGGATCACATTTAATCTGATTAACTTTTTTTGAGGAGTTCTGTGACAAATGGATAGGGGAATTGTGACAGATGTTATCTGTGTGGTCTTCCAGAAGCCATTTGTTAAGGTTCCTTACAAGAGCTTGTCAGTAAAACTGAGAGTGCATGCTGTCGTATGAGACAGTTAGTTCATGAGAGGTTAAACTGACATCACGACAAACTCCACCCGTCAAGATGAAGGGTATTTGGTCAGTGGTAGTCATGGTTTGGTCATAGTATGGTAAGTGTCTGAGCACAGTGACAGTCACCATCTGATCATGGTGGTCGCCTGTCTTTGAATGATGGTCAGTGTCAGCTCATAGTGATGTCAGTGTCTGCATGTGGTGACAATCAGTGTCTGATCACAGTGATTGTCAGTGTCTGATCACAGTGATTGTCAGTGTCTGATCACAATGATGGTCAGTGTCTGATAACAATGATGGTCAGTGTCTGATAATGGTGATGGTCTGTGTCTGATCACAGTGATGGTCAGTGTCTGATTATGGTAATGGTCAGTGTCTGATCACGGTGATGGTCAGTGTCTGTTAATGGTGATGGTCAGTGTCTGATCACAATGATGGTCAGGGTCTGATTATGGTGATGGTCAGTGTCTGATAATGGTGATGGTCAGTGTCTGATCACAATGATGGTCAGTGTCTGATCATGGTGATGGTCAGTGTCTGATAATGGTGATGGTCAGTGTCTGATCACAATGATGGTCAGTGTCTGATCACGGTGATGGTCAGTGTCTGATAATGGTGATGGTCAGTGTCTGATCACGATGGTCAGTGTCTGATTATGGTGATGGTCAGTGACTGATCACAGTGATGGTCAGTGTCTGATAATGGTGATGGTCAGTGTCTGATCGTGGTGATGGTCAGTGTCTGATCACAGTGATGGTCAGTGTCTGATAATGGTGATGGTCAGTGTCTGATCGCGGTGATGGTCAGTGTCTGATCATAGTGACGTCAGTGTCTGATCACAATGATGGTCAGTGTCTGACCACGGTGATGGTCAGTGTCTGATTATGGTGATGGTCAGTGTCTGACCACTGTGACGGTCAGTGTCTGATCATAGTGACGGTCAGTGTCTGATCACAATGATGGTCAGTGTCTGACCATGGTGATGGTCAGTGTCTGATTATGGTGATGGTCAGTGTCTGACCACGGTGACGGTCAGTGTCTGATCACGGTGATGGTCAGTGTCTGATCGCGGTGATGGTCAGTGTCTGATCGCAGTGATGGTCAGTAACTGATCATTGTGACAGTCACTGTCTGATCACAGTGACGGTCAGTGTCTGATTGCGGTGGTGGTCACTGTCTGATCATGGTGACGGTCAGTGTCTGATCGTGGCGATGGTCAGTGTCTGATTATGATGACGGTCAGTGATCATAGTGATGGTCAGTGACTGATTGTGGTGATGGTCAGTGATTACAGTGATGGTTAGTGTTTGATCACAGTGATGGTCAGTGTCTGATCGCGATGATGGTCAGTGGTGATGATCAGGTCCAAGGAGCCGGAATTGAGTGAAAAGTCCCTTTGACAAGGTGAGAATGCAGCCTTTCATTACTGTCTGCACTCTGCATCCAGTTTCAGCCTGGGTCATTTATTAACTAACTGATACTTTAAACAAACATTGAAACTGAAATTGACTCAGACACTCTGTCTTAAGAAGATCTGATTCTTCTCAAATGTTTCACTGAGGACAGTTTCCCTACAAGAGGAGCGTTGAGCCTTGTCTTAAAGGGCTGAATCTTGAAAAGTTGTCCTGTCACTTTCTGAACTGGATGCTTTGGGCTTTTACATTTAGTTGCACTCAAAATACTTTCTCAAAATAAATCAGTAACTTTGCAAAAATGTCAAGATATGACCCAGAGAGAAAAAAAAAGTCAAAAAAGCAATAATACTTGGAAAATAACAGACTGGTCTTTCATTTTGAAGTGTACAAGGTAAGTCAATCTAATTGTGACTCATGTCTTAGATTGACTGGATTTATGTCAGCATCTTTCTTCTCAGGTCCTGATGCATGAGCAGCTTGGATAGAAATGCCGTGCAGAGATATGGGGAAATGGCAGGAAGTTGATCCTGGGGAATAGAGCCGGTGCAGGCATAATGGGCTGAGTGGCCTCCTCCTGTGCTGTAACAGTTCTGATTTGCAGTTGGATCATCATCTCAGTGACCAACTACACTGTCCCCTCATTGGAGGATTTGGAGATCCGGTATGTTGTCCATTGATAGAGTCACGGTGGCGGTGTGTTCCTCGTTGGCTGTCTGTAAGCTTCCATTGAGCTAAACAGTAGCAGGATCCACTCCAGTATGTGTCTCCTGATGCCTCCGCAAGTCGACTTTCCGCTGAAATCCTTTCCCACACGCAGAGCAGATGAAAGGCTTGAAGCCAGTGTGTTTCCGGCTGTGAGTGATGAGATTTGAACTCTGGCTGAAAGCTTTCCCACAAACCTGACATTTATGTGGCTTCTCACCTGCAAGACAACATTGCTGATGATTAATATTCATCCTCAAGTTACACCTGTACTAAACTGTTAGTATTTAACCACCAGTGTTTAACCACCAGTACTAAACTGCCAATATGAAATAATCAGAGTTAAAATAGTACATTAACGGTGAGAATATGCTAGGTGTGATCCAGCACCTGTGGGAGTGTGTGCTAGCAGTGATCCAGTACCTGTGGGAAAGTGTGTGCTAGCA